CCAGCGGAACTGCAAAAAACTATGCTACTAGAAACATCCTATATTTTAAGAAAATACTTGGTTGATACCTAGGACGCTGGAAGCAAACTGTATCAACCATTAGCACCAGTCACTGGTATTTGTAATTTATTTTTGAATGTTCAGTTGGCTGAGTTTCATGTTTAATGAATAAAGTAAATAATGATAATGATAATAAGAATCCAAGCTGCCGACTTTGCAACAACCAAGTTATTGAAACTGTTTCACATTTAATATTTTATTGTATAAAAATGGAATCTGAGGATATATGCTACCTATAGTAAAATAGAATAACAGATGGAAATGAAATGATAAATTTGGTTAACTTTGAAATAATGATATTGTTTACCGTATTTTTTGAACTATAAGATGCACCGGAGTATAAGACGCACCATGATTTCGAAGAGGTAACTTTAAAAAAAAATGTTTTTTGCACTTTGCAGGCCTCCCAAACCTTCTGCACTCCTCGTTTTTTGCAAAAAAGAGGGGGGGGGGGCATGTAGAGCTTTGGGAGGCTCTTAGAGTGCTCCTGTGGGCTGGGAAGACCAAAAATGAGCAAAAAACGAGCCATTTTTTGCACAAAAAAAAAGGGGGAGCATGCAGGGTGTTTGGGAGGCTTATAGAGTGCTGCTGCGGGGGCGGGCAAAACGGCCCATTTTTTTCTTTTCTTTGTGCCCTCCCCAGCCTTCAGGAGCACTTTGCAGACCTCCCAAACCCTCTGCAAGTCCAATTTTTGCAAAGGGGGCAGGGTTTCGGGAGGCCAAAAATGCTGTATTCAGTGTATATGACACACCCAGATTTTCACTCTCTTTTCTTGAGGGAAAAAGGTGCGTCTTATACTGCGAAAAATGCGGTATGTATTAAGAGGAAATTAAGAGGGAAAATATGGAAAGAAAACAATATGGCTGAATCGGAACTGGAAATATGATGTAAAATGAATTATGCATAGGAGAGGATATTAAAGGGAAAAGTACGGCCAACACTCTGTTTATATAAGAATTTAAAATTTGTAACAAAAAAATTAAAAAAAACTCTTTGTTTCAAAATAAAAAAGGCAGAGGAAATGTATAGCCCTTTGATGGATGGAGTTGTTAAGGATTAACGTGTTTTTATAACCAACCAAGATACTGGCCATCATGTGTTAGTGAGTCCCAAAATTTCCATGGTGGTTGCAGTGTTGTTTTTTTAAAAAACCACCTTGTGAAAGCGCATGTTTGTAAGTCTTCTATGCTGTGCTTCATTCCACAAACTTCTATTGTGAGTTCATAATGCCACCTGTCAGAAATGGCGTAGGGTCTCCTGCTTGGTCGGGGGGGGGGGGTCTGGACTAGATGACCCACACGCTCCCTTCCAACTCTGTTCATCTCTTAAATCATAAATATGGCAGAAGGCTTGCAGGGAAAGACCTCGAAAGCTTCTTGTGTTTTGCGGAAAATGAATCGCCTCCATTTTCTTGCCCATCTAGGACTTGTTGAATAAGGCCATTGTCTCCGCTTTGAGTGCCCGGAAGGAATGGGACCTACGACCCATCCAGGACCGTGCGGAGATCTTCTTCAAAGCCGCCGACATCCTGAGCGGGCCCAGAAGGGCAGAGATCTTAGCCAAGACCATGGTCGGACAGGTAAGTGAGTGCGTGGCTGGCTCGGATCATATCCAGGGCCTTTCTAAGGGAAGGAAACCAGCACATGGAGGGGTCTGAGATGAAATTAAGAAATACGTGGCAATTAGAATCTCTCTTGGGTGGGATTTGACATAGCGGCCGTCGGTTGCTAACCCTTCGGCGTTGCCAGCTTTGTCCAAAGTCATCTCTGTGCCTCCCCCCCCAAAAAAAACTTCTTCAGTCTTGCTCTGACTCGCTTCTTTATCTCCAGGCTAAAACAGTCATCCAAGCAGAAATCGATGCGGCCGCAGAGCTGGCTGACTTTTTCCGCTTCAACGCTAAATACGCCCTGGAGCTGGAAGGGGAGCAGCCCATCAGCGCCCCGCCCAGCACCAACAGCCTGGTGTATCGGGGACTGGAGGTAGGGGTCACTATTCAATCCTGATTTTGCAGAATCTGGGGCAAACCGAGCTCCGTCTTTTGCCTTCACACAGTTTGTGTGTGTGTGTGTGTGTGTGTGTGTGTGTGAATGTGTGAGAATTAGCGGTGTCTGTCCCTCTGTCTGTCTTCCCTTCTCCACTGAGCTGCTGAGGGCGGTCCAGTCCCCTTCCCCAAGCAGGGGACTTTCCAATGAGTAGGGAGGGACGACACATGGCTGCGTTGAAAGCATTTGCACCACCCCCTCCTCATTTTAAACAGTCCCCAGCCCCCTGTGCTTCTGCAGAGACTGTAAAAATGGTTCTTTAGGAATCCCTCACTTAGCAGAAGTCATTTTTCTTTCTCCTGATAGTCAGGGGAGAAGTTGGAAGTTGAAGCAAGCATGAGGTACCCCTCCCCCCCTTAATAGAAATGACCTATTTCCCACCATTCCCCCCCCCCTTTCCTACTTTTTCCTTTCCACGCACCTTTTCCAGCACGAGGACTAGAACCTTGAAATGGGGAAGCCATGCTTAAAAGGTCACGGCCCTCAGGGCCTAGGCCATTGCAGTCGGTCAGAGGTTGGGGCTTGTGAGGGGCATCTCTTATCCTGCCCCTTCCTTCTGAAGCCGTGTGAGAGTCACCCTTCCCCTTCCCTCCCCTCTTCCGCAGGGCTTTGTGGCTGCGATCTCCCCCTTCAACTTCACCGCCATCGGAGGGAACTTGGCAGGAGCCCCAGCACTGATGGTGAGTTCCGCCGGATCCATTCTGTGCCTTCAGTTGCAGCTTTTGAAAACGGGAGCCCCCCCCTTTCTTTCCTGATTCTGGGGTGCCCGCAGACATAGCATAATCTCTCCTTCTTCCTCACCAGCTGATTTGTTTTTGAGGATCCAAAATTTCCTTTGCCGCCCTTGAGGACTAGATCCTTCTTGGGGCTGTATCCCAAAGAAGCTGAAGAGGACTCCTTTTTCTTTTTCCCCCCTTCCCCTCTGCCAGGGCAACGTGGTCCTTTGGAAACCCAGCGACTCGGCCATGCTGTCCAGTTACGGCGTCTACCAGATCCTCCTGGAAGCCGGCCTGCCTCCCGGTGTCATCCAGTTTGTCCCAGCAGAGGGCACCACATTCGGGGACACCGTGACCGGCTCGGAGCACTTGGCTGGCATCAACTTCACTGGCAGTGTCCCGTAAGCCTGGGTTGCCTTAGGGTAGGGTGGGAAGGATGGCTCTGAGACCCCCTCCTCAATTCAACTCTTAAGGAAGCCCTGTGGTATCCTCTCTAACCTTGCCCTCCTCCCCTCTTACAAACACTGGGCCTTTTAAAAACGTATCATCTCTTGCAGCTTCCCTCACCCCCTCTCAGTGGGACAGAAAGCTGGATCGACTGGCCTCTTTATCGACAATGCCACTTGAGCCCTCTCAAGGTGGCTTGGATTCTGGGCTCCCAACCTCCACCCATATCACTCAAAACAGCTAAAAACCTGGCCTAGAGTTAAAACTCAGGCGGTGGCTCAGGGGCTAAGACGCTGAACTTGTCGATCAGAAAGGTCGGCAGTTCAGCGGTTCGAATCCCTTGCGCCGCGTAACGGAGTGAGCTTCCGTGACTTGTCCCAGCTTCTGCCAGCCCTTCTGTCCCAGCTTCTGCCAGCCCAGCTTCTGCCGAGCACTTCGAAAGCACGTAAAAAAATGCAAGTAGAAAAATAGGGACCACCTTTGGTGGGAAGGTCACAGCGTTCCTTGCGCCTTCGGGCGTTGAGTCGTGCATTCCTAA